GGTGTGTCACGGTGGCGACTGCTTGTCAGTTGTTGAAGAGGCTTGCGTACAAGGCGAAGGACTTGTTCAGTCATGTTTTACAGTTTGCCACGGGTGCTTCTGTACTGTGTTACCAAGTCTGTACATACAGGATCAGAGGAATAATTTCACTGGGGAGATATTTTTATTTAAAAACTGAAGTCTGACTACCAAGGAGGTGCCTTGCCCTCCGCTTTGACTGTACCCTCGCCTGCTTGTTTCTGTGTGCTGGTCACAGCTCCGCCCTCAGCAGCTGCCTTCCTCTATACAATAGGAAGTGAGTCTTACCCAGCTCCTGTGTGGCCCAAGTCAGTGTACATCTCTGTTCACTGTACCAGGTCAGCTGGTAGCGGAGTCATCTTTTCTGTGCTTCTGCATGGAGAGCCTGACCCCAGTGAGCACGGTCAGCTCCTTGTGCTGCATTGCCTCAGCTGTTGGCACTTGATTGTGTTTGCAGTGACTTATGCTCAGGTCCTCCCCGAGTGGTCAGAGCCAGGAAGGCTTTAAGGTTCTTCTGGTTCTTATTTATAGGGGTATGTGGAGGATTAGTGTAGCTAATGAGCCTGCTGTGGTGGCAAGTGCTTGTAATCCCAGTATTGGGGAGGCTGAGACGGGAGGATCGCTGTGAAGTCAAGTCCAGGCTTGGCTACATAGAGACCTTATCTCAAATTAATAATCTCATAATGTGCCCATTTCTGTCTCTAAGAATTTCTGCTTAAATAAACATCTGTTTCCTGTGACCAGAAAGTAGAGTGGAGGTGGTTCATTCTTGCTATGGACCAGGGAAGGATTGTTTGAAGGACTAAGGGAAGCATCTCTAGGCCAGACCCAAGACCTCTGTAGCTTTCTTCACTTCTCACTCCCTCTCCTGCACCATGGATTTGAACTATGCAGCTTCTCTAGAGTGAAAAGCAAGCTGTGGATCTAAGTTTGAAGCACCAGTCTTGCTGTCTAGCATCTGCACTGACTTAGTGAAGGAAGTGTTAGTGAATTTAGATTCTTCTGCCCCAAAATAGCTTTGCTTCTGGCTCTGAAATATCACACCTTCCCAAATTATGCTGGCTTGTAACATTTAGAAAAATAGTCATCCTTCTTATAAGAAAGATGTTGGCCAGGCATGATGGAGCACACCTGCAATCCCAGCACTCTGGAGGCCTGAGGCATTAAAATTGAAACTGTGGGCTCAGTCTGGGCAACTTAGTGACTTAGTGAGACCCTGAAAATGAAAATAAATAAAAAGGACTGAGGATATAGCTCAGGACAAAGGCACTTGGCCCAAATGCTACACACACACACACACACGCACACACACACACACACGCGCGCACACACACACGATCTCTCTCCAGTGGCACCAGTTTTTGGCCCTGGCTAATGTTGGGGAAGAGCTGAGAGGCTTCAGAGCTGCTGCTCCCTGGGTGGGAGACAGGCTGTGTGTGCTGCCGTAGCCCACCTGGGCAGGGTGGCTGCTCCCTGTCGGGCTCCAACCAGGCACTCTGTGTGGAGCATGCACTCCTCTGCTGAGCTATATCCTGTCGCTGTTGCCCACTTCCGTTTTCAGGAAGACACAGGGAAAACCAGTATTCACCATAGGAGAGAAAAGTGGTCCGGGACACTTGTCACTGATCTTTAGTAGCGTGAGTACCATTACCAGAGCCTCAGACATCCTGGTGTGGGGCACTGATGGAGCCAGGTTCCAGCACGGTGAGGCCAGAATTTGGAGCCAGGGAAAGTAAGGGGAGTTGGTGGCTGATGCCCAGTGGAAAGGGACTCCAGCCCAGCCTTTGGGGCCCTTGAGCAGGATTCCTGCTGAGGACAGGTGAGGCTGAAGCAGGTGCCCCTGCTGGTGGTCGAGGGTGGGCAGCAGGCTTACGTGTCCAGGCTGGGAGGTTCATGTGATTTTATAAGGAAGCGCTCCAGGCCTAAGAAATGCTCAGGAACCTAACCATTTTATTCAAGCAGAGGCTGTCTCCAGCACCTGTGAGAATATATACCTTTGTGGTTCTCATAGGTAAATGATCTCTTAAGTTACTATGGTTTTAGAACTGGATAGATGTTGCGTGCCTGTAATCCCAGCACTTTGGAGGCTGAGTCAGGAAGATTACTGTGAGTTCAAGGCTAGCCTGAACTGCACAGTGAAAGCCAGTCTCAAAATAAATAGTAAAACAAAAAGAAATAATATAGTTTTATTAAATGTTCTTTTCAGTATTAAACTGTTTTGTTCTGACATACTTCTCACAATAAAACATAGAGAGACACAGTACATAATTGTCAGAGAGCTGCCTAAAATCCAGCAGTGCTGGGAAAAGAAACCTTGTGCGTGCTGACGACAAAGTCCTCTCCTCGGGCAGCATCTTGGTGGCCGCAGCCCTAGTCTCTGTTAAATGTGCCTAAGTGAAGTGGTCTCCTTTTTGGCCAAGGGGCTGAGGTGGAGCACAGGCAGGCAGCAGTGGGCTTACCCCAGGTTGGCCCTGAAGTTCCTGAGCTGCTGTCATCGTCACGTCCAGGAAAGCCCCTCCTGGCCAGAGAGCAAAAAGTTCTCCTGGTTTCTGCTGTTGAAGACAGGGCAGGTGGGGCTGTGTTGTGCCCACCGGGAGCACTTGCGTCTCAGTGAAATGAATCACAGAACTGGTTTCTAAGAAATGCCAAAGATGTTTAATGGCTGTGCTCTGAATCAGCCTCGAGCCTGGGGAGCTCTGCGAGTGTGTCCTGTGGCACTGCCTCGGGCCATGCACGGGCTTTCAGATGTGTTCTGTAGTCTGTGAACACGGGTGTGAAGGGAAGTAGGCCATGGGGGACAGAACTGCCAATGGCCCTAGGTTTTTGGAGATGTGTGGTGTGGTTCTCTGGGTTGCAGCTAATGCAAGTTATTAAGTCTTGGCAAATTTTCTGCCAGTTAGTTATAGAAGCTCTTTAGTTATAGTGGAAGCATTTAGTTTCTTCGGGCTAATGTGATTGTTGAGCCAGTAAAGGTGCTTCTAAGCCCTAAGCGAGGGCGCTCAGCATTTAAGAGGATTTGACTTACCTAAAATGGCTTAAAATTTTTCTGTGAGTCACTTTGAGAAGCCAGGCCTGCCAGCACTAAAGAGGCTGAATCAAGAGGCCTGCCTGGGCTACCTGGGAGTTGAAGGCCAGCTTGAACCAAATGGGGAAGCTGTCTCAAACAAAAATAGAGATGAAATGAAAGGGAAAAAGAAATGAAAGAGAAATAGCCATACTTCATGTAAGCATTACTTTCATGTAAGCATTCCTGAAGGTTTTTAAACTTATATAAAGGATACCGGAAGTGTGAGTAGGAGGGATAGGGAGGGATCGAGTCCCTAAAGGGGAAGCAGTTGGAGCTGAGCTAGTGAGAGTCATTTTCCCCAACCTTTACTTCTTAACTGAAACTATTCTTTCTCTAGTCTTTGTTTTTGGTTCTTCTGGCAGCCAAACAGATTCCTCTATTGTTTTGCTTGCATCTTACAGCCCAGCCCCAGGGGACAGGAAATGTAGGCAAATTGTTATCTGCTTGTCCTGGACTGAGGGCCAGCTCGGCTGACCTACTTTAAACCAGGGCTCAGAGTCCATAGGCAGGGAAGGTGGAGGGTGAGGTGTAGAGAAACTGGACGTAGAATTTAAGGCCCCAGCGAGTGTTACGTTGCTTTTGTGCACCGCAGAATGCTTTGTGTGCAGCACCTAATTAAGGTCACGCATAGCGCCACCCACATAACCAGATGTGAAGCTGGGCACCTCGAGGGAACGCAGTAAATCCAGAGAGGGCCTAAGGCCAGGACTCTAGCAAGCCTGCGCCCTGCTGCCCCCGCTCCCCCCTCACCTATAATGCGCCACTTGTTGGGGGTGCGATTTTTCAAAGTGGATAGAGGGACTCTTGTTTGTTTTTTAAAGATAAGGTCTCTCTGTGTAGTTCAGGCTGGCCTCAAGTGGTGATTCGCCTGCCTCACCAAGGCTTGGGATTGTAAGTGAACACCCCCACACCTCGCTTAAAAAGGGACTCTTAGGGCCAGTGAGATAGCTCAAGGAACTAAAGTGCCTGCTTAGGCAAGCTTAAGCAAGCGCAGGAACCACGGTTCCATCCCTGGCACCACATGCTGCACCAGTCCGCCCACAGGCCAGAGTCCAGGCGTGGTGGCACACGCTTGCAATCCTAGCTCTGGGCAGGCTGAAAGCAGGAGGATCACCAGGAGTCCGAGCTGCGTAGTGAGACCCTGCAACAACCAAATTACATTTTTTTTTTTTAAAGGGACTCTTAGATCCTAAATAAAATTGGTCAAAATCTTCTGGAAACTTTTAAAATAAATCATGTTTATACAGTGCCATTAGAGTAACATTAAAGTTTGAAGTTAGAATACAATTTCTAGATACCTTCTTTGTACAGTCACTAAGTTTGAGGATCAAAAGAAAGTGTTTAAGAATGTTATAATAGTTTGTTTCAAAATCAGATATCCACCCTAGGAACTATTCAGTTTTCTTCAAAGTTTCCCATCCGGAGAAAACAGGTACTCTGGATTTGTAATTCCCGCATTTGTAATTCCCAAATTTATAATTCACACCTCCCTGCAGTGTGTGTCACCAAAGGGGAGAAGACCCAGGAGGAGGCCCATCTTTGTGTGTGTGTGTGTGTGTGTGTGTGTGTGTGGCACGCGCACACACGAGCAGGTGCACAATTTTCCTCCTCTGCATTCCCACAGGACTTCCGGAATGCTGTGGGCCACGCTTCCAGGCAGCTGGGGAAGCCTATCATTGAGGACCGGATCCTGAATCAGATCTTGTACTACCTGCCCCAGCTCTATGAGCTCAACCGTGACCTTCTGAGTGAACTGGAGGAAAGAATGTCCAACTGGTAAAAAAATGGGATGAGTTTCAGTATTTTCCGGATTTTTTGATTTCAGGCGAAACCATAAGGGGCTCATCTGTGACAGGAGTTTGGTTGAGCTTGTCTGCTGGCTGGCTGGCTGGCTGGCTGGTGTGTGTGTGTGTGTTAGTGTTAGGAACTAAACCTAATGCCTTGAGCATACTAGGCAAGTACTCTAACACTGGGCTACATTCCCAGCCCTAGATTACTCAATGTGGTTTCATTTTTATTTTATTTGTTTATTTAGAGACAGAGCCTTACAATGTATTTCAGGCTGGCCTCAAACTGGAAGTGATCCCCCTGCCTCAGCCTCCTGAGTGCTGGGATTTCAGGCATGCATCTCCCTCATACCTGGCCTGCTGTTCAGAATTCAGGTTCTGAGTGTGCTGAAGAATGGGCTGGAAGGGAAGGAATAGAAGAAAGCAGGGAGGCCAGATCCTGAGGCAGGCAAAGCCTGGCCACAGAGCCTGGCTACACCATCCGGGAGGGGGCTGGTGACAGCGGCTGTGGCCAGGCCCTGCAGGAAAAGAGAGCAGGAGGCAGAGCCGGCGCTGTGCTCAACACTGGATGTGTTCTGGACACCTGAACCACTCTCCTTTTATGTTGGTCTCTGCTCTCTCCATAGGACCGAGCAACAAAGAATCGCTGATATCTTTGTAAAGAAGGGCCCCTATCTGAAAATGTATTCCGCATACATCAAAGAGTTTGATAAAAACATAGCTCTGCTGGATGAGCAATGCAAGAAAAACTCGGGTTTCGCTGCTGTTGTTAGAGAATTTGAGGTATTCACAGCCCTCTAATGTTGAACTTTTCTTCCTTTTTTTAAGCTTTAATATAGTTGGCACTTGTTATAGGCAAAGCTTGCAAACAAAAATGTGTTAAGGTCTAATCCTGTCTTCTGGGTGAGGGGGCACAGGCTAGTCATCCCAGCTACTTAGGAGGCTGAGGCAGAACTGCATGCTTGAGGCCAGCCTGAACAACTTTATGAATCCTGTTTAAAATTAAAATTTACAAAAAGAACTGAGGATACAGTGTGGTACCCCTTGGGCTCCCAGGGTGGGGGTGACGAATTTGGCCACATCACATGATAGGAAGTCTGAATAGTGCACCACATTGGATTCTGAAAATCTGCTGCTGCATATTTTAACTTGAAAAATAATTTTGATGGGACTTTTTGACAATTGTGGTGAAATACACATAATACAACTTCACATTTTAGTCTTTTTGCTTGTTTTTTGAGACAAGAAACTGCTGTGTAGCCCATGCTGGTCTCAAACTCAGTTATCCTCCTGTCTCAGCCTGTCCCAAGTGCTGCGATTAAAGGCATTTGCCCCCACGCCCAGCTGTATTTTAGCCAATTGTAAGTGTGCAGTCCCACAGCATTAAGTACACTGACACTGCTGTACAGTTGCACCTCCAGAGCGCATTTTGTATGGGGACACTGAGATCATGACCCCCTCCTCCCCCAGCATCCCCAACCATCATTCTACTTCCTGTCCAGGTAAAGTAGATTACTGGAGAAAACATTTCTTATTTTTATCTTGCCTTACCTTCAGTTCATCTCCCTGTTAACTTTGACTGTGGAAGAGAACTACAATGAATGTTTTTTATTAGATAAGTAAATAACACACTTTGGGTGACAAAATTAAGACAAATGAATCCTCTGTTTATGGCCCATGCCATCAAAAGATTTGCAATTTATTTATTTATTTTAGTTTCTTATTTTTTTAATTTATTTATTTTTTGGACTGGCTCAGGATGCCTTCAGGGCAGGTCTGGCAAAGCTTGAGGATCAGGGATTGAACCACAGCATCCTGAGCCTGACTGCTTTGTTTAAGCAGTCACTTAAACAGATGAACTAAATAGGTAGGCCTCCAGGTTTGTGTTTTAACAATTAGGAGAATGCAATCTTGATTTGCTTAGGGGTAAAGGGATTTAACACTCTTTTTAGAAATTGGTTTCAGCCAAGCATGGAAACAAACTCATGGCTAGCCTCCTGCCTCAGCTCCCAAGTGCTGGGATTATTTATTGATGTGCACCACTAACCCAGTTTATAGTTGTTTTTCTGGCTTTTTTTTTTTTTTCTTTGCTGTCCTCTGATGCTTTTATGTTACCAAAAAGTGTAATAATAGTTATGGCAGTGGATGGTGGACTGAGGATTTGGTTGATGTCCACCCAGTAAGTTGTAGTATTTGCCAACTAAACAAGTTCAGAAGGTAGGAGGAGTTAGCACTCTTGGTAATGGTGCTTGTATGAAGTTTGTATTCTTTCCTGCCTTTATTCTTCCCCTGCCCTCCCCCTCCCTTTCGTTCCCTCCCCCTCTCCTCCCTGCTCCTTTCCCATTCCCTTCTTTCTCTTGTGCTAGATAGAGATCAGGCCTGGTAAGTAGTCTAGCCCAGCACTACACCTTTAGTCTTGAAGATACATTCATAAAATATTAGCCTGGATGACATACTGAGAACTTGTCTCAAAGTTTTTGAGGTTTCTGTTTGTTTGTTATTTTATTTTTGAGACAGTCTCTCCATGTAGTTCAGGCTGGCCATGAACTCACTGACTGTGTAACTCAAGCTAGCCTTAAATTTACAGCAAGCCTCTTGCTTCATCTTTTTGAGTACTGGGATCATAGGTATACACAATGATGCCCAGCATGATAAAAGGTTTTAAAAAGAGCTGGGGGGCTGGGGAGATAGCTTGACAGTCTAAGTGCCTGCCTGGCAAGTGCAAGGATCCGGGTTTGATCCCCAGCATCACATGTCGTGCTGGCCTGGGCTGGGTGTGATAGCGCTTGCCTGTAATCCCAGCTCTGGGGAGGCTAACAGGAGAATCTCTACAAGTCTGAGCTGCGTAGCGAGACCCTGTGCCAAGTAAATAAATAAATTAAAAACATTAAAAAAAAAAGAGCTGGGGATGTAGTTTGGTCAGTGGGTACAGCACTAGCTTAAGATGCAGAAGGCCCTGGGTTTAATCCCTAGTGCTCCAAAAGAAAAGAAGGAAACTGGGTGTCACTTCAAAATGTGCTTCCAGGCCTGTGGAGGGTGAGAGGGCACAGCCCTGTGGTCCATCACTGGGGAAGTTGAGGCAGCAGGATCACCTGGAATTTGAAGCCAGCCTAAACTACATAGCAGGACCCTGTCTCTAGAAAGCAGAACAAGAATAAAAACTAGAAATAACAAAGTTACCTTGTTCATTGTGGTGCCTTTTCTTTCAGATGAGCCCTCGCTGTGCCAACCTGGCCCTCAAGCACTACCTGCTCAAGCTGGTCCAGAGGATCCCACAATACCGGCTGCTGCTCACAGGTGGGGACCTACTGTCCTGAGGTGCCCGAGTGCCCAGGTGTTCCCAGCTTGGTGGCTTGCGGTGCTCCACTGGTCCCTGCATACTCTCATTCCCACCTGTCTTCCCCTTTGCCGTCCCAGCCCCACTTACTTGCCACTCCTCCTTAATAGTATTTATCTCAAAGGTATTTCCCAAGAACAGGCTTTGGGGACCGGGCATGGTAAGGCACAGTTGTAATCCCAGCGCTCTAGGGTCTGTGAGAGTTAGAAGCCAGCCTCAACTACATAGTAAGAGCCAGTCTTAAAGCAAAAATCCAGTCACCTTCAGAGGGCCAGTCTGGGGCACGTAGTGGCACACATCATAGCCCCTTCTTGGGTGTCTGATATAGGAACATAGCTTGAGCCCCCACATTTGCGAACACAGTGAGATATGGTCTCAATAAAGGGGGGAAGGAGCCCCTGACTTAGAGGCTGTACCACATGTCAGCAGCGCAGGCAAGTGGCCCAGCTCCTCTCCTTCAGGGGCTACCTAAGGGTGAGGGAGCCCCGGTGAAGAGATAGAGTGTTCATTAGCAGGGTGTTTCATTTACAGTGAGCTCTAAATTAAGTGTAAGCTGCTATTAGTAGCAGTAGTAGCTGTACCCTCATTTTGGTTTCCTGGTCATTGTATCTTCTACAAGATTTCAGGTCTGTCTAGTTTACCACTGTGATAATTTTAAAAGCCTGTAATTCTGGGAGGCTGAGGCAAAAGAAGTTTGCAAGTTCTGGGCCAGCCTGGGCAATTTAGCTAGACCTTGTCTCAAAATTAAAAAGCTGCCTGTGGTGATGCACACCTGTAATCCCAGCACTCTGAAGCTTGAAGTAGGAGGATTGACGTGCATCCGGCCAGCATGGGCTATATAAGTGGATTCAAGCCAGCCTGAACTGCATATCCCAGGGGAGCTGGTCACCTGGTGTGGGCCCCAAGCATCATCCAGCTCTGCTGCTCGGCCATCCTAGGGCCTCTAGATGCCTGCATGGGCTTGGACCAGCACCCATACCAGCTGTGCATGAAATATGTCACCAAATACACAGAAGCACGGGAAGCCATGACAGCTTGTGTATGCGACTTTCTGTAAGTGAAATTTGAGAAACTAATTAGGGTTAGGAAATGGTTTTCATCTGGGGAGTTCTTTATGTGTTTGGAGTATTTTAGGGGGTAGCAGATTGAGACAGGCTCCAGCGTGGTCTTGAACTCACTGTCTAGTACAGTGTAGCCTCAAACTGGTGGCTGTCCTCCTGCCTCAGCCTCCTGAGTGCTGGGATTAAGGTGTGCACCGTGCCACTGCATCCCTCTATTTTTTTCTCCATTCCCTTGGAATCCACTTCTGATCTCTCCCATTCTTACCTTCAGTGTATTGTGGGTTAACAGATATTTATGTGGTTCTTGGTAAGCCCGCTAGTATTTATGTAATTGAAAATAATGGGCTCCTTAATTTGATTATAAACTCTTCAAGGTCTGGAAGTGCGTCTTGTTACTCTCCCACCCAGTTATCCCCACCCAAAAGCTGGATGAAGTTTAGATACCATGAAGCAAACAGCTTCATGGGAAATAAATTTGTTTGTTTTGGTTGGTTGATTTTATTCCAAGGTAAAACATGTCCTTAGCCCAAAAATGTTCAGACAAAGGAACCACACTGAGACATAGAATTTCTGAGAAGTGAGAAACCATGTCTTAGAGATGACATCTTCTAAGGGAAACAAGTGCTGCCTGCCAGGGCTGCAGTGATAGCATGCACTGGGCAGACATGGTCCTGTAACTCTAAGGATATCAGGGCTTGAATACTCAGATTCTGTTTTCTATGTCTGTTTAAAATTCACTTTTCCGATCCTCAACATTGTGATGTTCTGAGAGCTCCCTGTTTTCTGGGATTATTTCTGCACCGCCGAAGTGCCCCTGTCTGTACATTTAGAGTCTTAGCAGGTAGACTGAAGTCTTAGGCCTTATGCATTCAAATATATTTATTAAGTAATGGGTCCTTCCTTTAGGTGAATGAACTCTGTGGATTTAATCCTCCCAGCAACCTTGTGATCTAACTCCTTTCAGATCCACTTTGCAGGTGGAAGTAATTCCAGCCGCACAGTGTGTAGGAGCTGTGGACGGTGCCTGTAGCAGGCAGCTCCCACCCTGACTCTGTTGTGCACGTCGGGCAGAGCCTGGGAGGCCTTTGCCCGACTCGGCACCATAGCAGTGCCACCTTGGTTTCTTGGAAGGGGAGGGGGAGGACTGCGGCGTAGGGATTGATAAGTAGGCTGGTTGCATTTGGAATTCTTTCAGAAAATTGGAGGTGGAAATTCCCATTGGCAGCCGGTCTTGCTACTACTTGAACAGCTAGTGTTTTGCAACAGTTTTATCTGGACAGATGTGGTTTTTATCGGGTGTTCTTCTGAGACAGTCTTTCATTGTCATGAAAATGTTGCAACTAAATTATTATGGTTTTGTGGTAGTTTTTTGAGACAGGGTCCTGCTGTGTATGTAGTTTATGCTGGTCTTAAAAGTCACAGTGCTGCTTAGGGCTGGGTTTATAGGGGTGCACCACCATGCCCAGCTCAAAGTGGTAGGGTTTTTTTTTTTTTTAAGTTTCTTTCCCTCTTCCAAACTTGCACCCATTTCTAACTAAATTCTTGGGAGGGGGCTGCTGGAATGTATAGTTTAGTGGTAAAGCATTTGTCTAGCATATTCAAGGTTCTGGGTTTGATTTCTAGCACCATCAAATACATTATTTAATTCATAGTAGTTTTGTCTTTTTGAGACAGGGTCTTATTATGCAGTTCAGGCTGGCCTTGAATTCACTGTATAGCCCTGGAACCCACAACAATCCCCCTGCCACAGCCTCTTGAGTGTTGGAATTACAGATGTGCACCACCTGGCCGTGCCTCATGGTAGTATTTTTGAAAGGTCGACTCACAATAGGAGTTAAGAAAAAATGCGTAGTTCGGGAAAATTAAAGCAAGTGATTTCATAAGCCTAGAAGCTTATGGCTTTTACTTTTCTAGTGGCTGCTCAGGATTCCGGTGCTTTTCTCCTCTCCTTACCCTGTGCACGCACTTCCTCTGTGCCCCCATCCCAGGGTCTGGCGTGGCTCCTGAGGCATGGCAGCTGCAAGGCTCAGAGAAATGAAAGCTGCTGCTCTCTAGGAGGCCAGGAATCCTCCTGTGGTGCCCCCCCTGCGTGCTTGACTGGGGTTAGACTCATAAATAGCATTCGAGAGCAACAGCGTTCTCCCGGGCCCTAAGCACAGCATGACTCTTTCTCCTTCCTCATCGCCTCCTGGTGGGGCCTGCTTCTCCTATGCTCAGGGGCCTCTCTTCCTGTCCAGCCTCCCTGTCTCTGACCCTTGCTGGTCTGTGCTCTCCTCATGCCCCAGGCCCTGGTATGTGATTGCCTGCTGTCTCTGCCAAGAACACACTTGCGCTGTGCTTAGTAGGGAAGTGGAGAGCTTACGTATCCGTGGTACAGAAACAGAGCATGGTATATGGCCCAGAATGCCCTGAGCTTTATTGTGGTGGTACTAGGGATTGAGCCATGACTTTCACACTGAGCTCCATTCCCTGCCCTTTCTTATTTTAGACAAATTTTAGAAAAACCTGCCTCAGCCTCTCAGAGTGTAAGAATACAGATGTGCCCCACCATGCCCCACCCCATCTCTGTCATGGATCTTCCACTCAACAAATAATAATTTAGGCCACCCTGGCCTCTGGTAGAGATAGTGTTGCCCTCCCCCTGGTCTTCCACTCCTATTCCTGAGCCCTTCTGTCTTATCTCCTGGATGAGGTGCTGAGCTTTTGTTTTGTGACTGAACCTTTCTCTTGCTTGGTTATCCCTTAAGGCTGGCGTGTCTCCTCAAGTAGGTCATAAACCTCTTTAAGGCAGAGGCAGACCATGAAAGCAGCAGCCAGTGATACTACTTAGAGGGTGACCATCTGGCGATGTTCTGTTTTTATAAAGTTCACCTTTTTCTTTGAAGACATCTTTTATACACATAAAAAAAAAATTGAGTAATACAATAAAGTAAAATCCCCTCTGCCTTTCAAAAATGACTACCATAAATCCTTTAGATGTTTTTGTCTATCCCAGTGTTTCATACTGTGTAATTTTTTCTCAGTATGAAACCATGCCTGTGTGAAAAGCTATTACAGTGGTACTAAAGCAAGTTCAGTTGGCCAGAATCATAAATGAGGAAACATATTAAAATATAATGTAAAAATTCCTCTGATAAGCCTTTTCACTTGTAGGGTTTTTTGGGGGAGGTGTTGGAGGGGACACACCAGTGCTTTGAACTTTGAATCAGTATGCATCAGTAGTTTCTTTTATCTAGTTGAAAATATTCGTGCTGTTTTAAGGGTTGCCTTAACACATTACTCCGTCCTGTAGACTTTGCCTTCTGTCCGAGGTAGTACCAACTCCTTAGAAGGTTTTAGAAGTCTATTCCCTTGTAGATAAAAAGTAGGATGTTAAAACATCTGTTACAGTGCTCTGAAGCTCTAAAGTTCTGTGACACTGTAGTGCATGTTCTTCTTCAGGACTCCATTGAGAAGAATCTGGTGGCAGGGCTAACAAGCAGCACGATTGTGCAGTAGTGGTGACAGGACGTATTTTGAGGCATCCACCACAACGATGCCGTTTAAGGAAACACCCGCGCGTCCACGGGGAGAGAACACTGCAGGTGCTGGCCGTTCCCGTGCGCTGCCGCCTTGCGTGCTCTGAGCCCCACCTGTCAGCAGACTCGCTGTGTGCCGTGGGCGGGGCCATCGCCACGGAGGGGCCGGCTTTGTTTTGGTCCATGCACAGCTTGACTCAGGTCCTTGGAGCTGCTGCAGGCCTCTGTGGCCAGGCCTTGTCGGGGCAGAGGTGTCGCAAGCAGGATTTGTGGCCGAGGCTCGCTTGCGGGCGGGATCGGGGCTCACCTCAGGCTGTCGCCGTGGAGAGCACACTGCTGTCCAGCTGTGCTTGGACTGTGTGCTGTTTGCTTGGCTCTTTC